TACGCTTTTAAAAACATATGTTTTAATAAGATTAAAGAGGATGTTAAATTCTTGAAATAAATAAAATGAGATATAGTGTTCATTTGTAGCTAAAATTTATTTTAATGACGTTATTAATGACGCACATAGCATATATTACAATTCCTTCTAATAGTAGTCTGTATTTTTATGTTAATAATTTATGTCATGTACAGACTTTAACAACGTTCGCTATTGCTGCAAATAATTCGAATTGCCGATAGAAATAAAGACTATTTGGACAACAATGTTATACAATATAATGACGCGTGCACGTAATGAGTAATACATGTCCTTGCTGTTCAATGCACCATGCTGAATGTGGTGGACGACCGAATGACGGTGATGTTGGTACCGAATGACGCACAGGATACGTGCAACCTTTCTTCCTGTTTACAAGAGTCCAGTTTTTATTTCTTTTTACCATCACAGGAATTGTAATACGTGTCAGAAGTGAAGAGCTCACGGTGAATAGATCGCCGATCTCGTATTTTACCGCGCACATCTTTCGCATGCAAGATAAGGACATAGGTACTATACGCTTCTACCTTTACCATCCATCTACCATCGCATACTAAAGTGGTTATACAAGCTTATTCTCACAATGGTCATTCAACTTCTTTTTACGGTCCAAAGCATTTTTGTACTATTCTGAATAGTACCGCATCCCTTGGGAATAAACCCGGATTATGCGAACCCCAAACCGGTAACGGACCTATTCTACGAAATTCTCACGACGAAATATTTGATATTTGACATTGAACATTGTATCTTAGTTGTACTTTAAATTGTTTAGAAAAAATAATGAAGCAAAAATGTTGAAAACATTTTCGATTCATCAAATTGAAAATTGATAATGTCGTTGTTAAATTCATAATATAATATCAAATTTTAAATACCCAATTTGAATTATTCTTATAGATTGCTAGTTGCTACTGCTGTAATATATCGTTAATTTAAGTAAAACAATCTAACTCAAGGAATATATATATATATTCTGTTATATAAAATATAACAGAAGAAATTTGATTCAAAATTAATTTATTATTTACCAAGTTCACGTTAACCTTAATGCTGTTTATGCTTTGAAACTAAGCAATTAAGTCAATTGAAATAGATTGAATTGTAATTGTTCTTGAACTATACTATGTTTTATATTGAAGTAATACTACATTTTGACACATTTGAAAGTTAAAAATAATAAAATGTTTAAGTTAAGGAATTAGTTCAAATTTAATTCTTTATTATTTAACAATATACATAAAATGAGATTAACTATTATATAGATATGTCTAGTTCTCTATTCTATAATAAAATTGATTTTGTCAATAAATGTTTAGTTCTTTCTCCGTAAGAACAACATATTTTCTCGCAAACAATTTTTCATATCAGAGTTCGATCACAGTGAAAAGAATATATCTATTTGCGTACTATCATTGGGTCAATAACTGTGTCAAGGATGTACCATGATATATATCAAAGAAATCAATTTATTTAATAAATGTATGCCGCGATCACGAAACTATTATTACTAATACTGATCGATATCGTTCGTAAAAGATTTGCTTTAATATAACATTGTACAATAGTATCAGGAAGATATAAAAATTATTCATTTTAATATAATTATTTATCTTGATTTTAATATTATTAAATATTTATCTTGATGTAAGTGAGCAAAATTAAACGACAGCACTTTGCACGAATTAATTTCTACGGCAAAAAAATCGGTAGTCGATCATTTCCTGCAGTCTTATCAGAATATTTTGTTTATATTAATTATTTTTATTGGTGTTCGCATATTTTATTTCTATACCTCTCACAGTAAGAGAGCATGATATAAATCTTCGGTACGTACTACGCCATGGCAAGTAAGCTAATGTGATACTACATTGGTCAGTGTAAGTGGTCGCTTACCATAGACCATTCCCTCCCATAGACGCTCTCACGTCACATCCTCATTCAGGAATTTATTAATAATGAGACATTGTTTACGAGTCGTTAATGTTGATCCTTCTATACCATGGAAATCTTTATTAAGGACAATCAAAGTTCCGATAAACGTGCACAAATATATCTCGGGTAAAATAATGAGATGTATATGAATCGCCGTACATAATTTATATTCCGCAATTCTCTCCAATGAATAAACAAATTCTATTATTTTAGAACACAGTGTACGTACTGGTATGTGTAAACTACGTCAAAATATATTGTTATAAATATTTGCTTGAAACTCTTTGACACATCTGTTGTCTGTTATTAATTGCAATTTAGATTGATATTGATTGTAGCATTTTGATCAATGCAAATGAATGTATTCTGACGTACAACGTTAAAAACAAATATACGTTTGAGTCTATAGATTAATGTCGAATATTATATAAGCCGAAAGCATTATATTAACTGGTGTAAATTAATACGTGAGATTACGTGAAAATGAGATAATCATATGAAAAAACATAACAATCTATAAAAACAAATTGCATATAAATAGCGTGCAATAGGTCGAAATAACAACCTATGTAAAATAACAAATTGTAAATAAATTATACCTTTTTATACATTTTTTGTTTACATCCTTCTTATTCGGGCATGCAGTAATTGATACCTGTAAGAAGATATAAATAAGTATCATAGGATAAATGCCCTCTCAATGAGACGATAACGCATACATGACGCATTGTACACTTCATGCACTTACCCGGTGTTACACTCAAGATCCAATCTATGTATGCGCCGACACGCATGTTAATTCCTGCTTTAGTACTGCCGCAACCCATTCCGGCATTGATAACACCTACGAGAACCTCCCGTTTCGTCGAAGGATTCTGCCAAAGAGCGGGACCGCCGCTGTCAAACTGAAAGAAAAATTGTAGACACGAATATAAAATGGCATTTTTTTTCTGCAAGCAAAACAAAAAGTAATGATGATATTAAAATGCCTTCAAAATGATTATTTCCAGAGAGCACACAACATTCAATGAATATTTTATAAATATTTATTAAAAACACTTATATATTCCATGAATGTACTAAAAACACTGTCAAATATTCATTGTACGTTCCTAGTAAACTGAATGGCATTCAATATTATAAATGTTTTATGAGCATGTAGAGAATATTTTGTACAATGTTCTATAAAATATTCTACATATTACAAATATTCTATGGAACATTTCACAAATGTTCGTTTTGAAATGAATATGAATATTTATGAATAGAATATTATACATATATTTATAGAACATTTGATTTAAATATTCCGAAATTAAGAATATTTGTATTTTATAAAAATAATTCGTAGAATATTTCGTGCTATCTGGATTAAAAGTCATTTTTGAGCGATTTATTTTAATATCGTTTTAATGTTATCATGATCTGTTGTTCTGTCTGGGTAACTTCTGCAGAATTTTCTATGTTACCTGACACGCGTCTTTTCCCTCCGCATAAGTACATATATGATCATTTGAAATACCCGGATACTGTTGACGACACTGCCGGTTCGTGATCACGCTTATCATAACTTTTTGCAAAGTATTCGACTTCATTCCTGAGAATTCTGTCAATCCCCAACCTGTTTCGATCAAAATAAACGGATAAAAACTTGTTTATGCAACCTACACGAAATAATTGAAACTTATATAGTGTTTGAAAACACACACACAAACATTAAATTATTTAGATAATAATTGCTGCTAATGATAATATTGTCTTACCCAATAAATCCACATAACTTCCTGCAAAAGAATCAGACTGATGCTCAAAGGGAAGACAAGCTGGTCCGACTTCTTCGCTGAAACTTATAACAGAATTCACCATTACTACAGCTATGTCATTTTGTAGAGGGACTTCAGTATCATATAGAGGATGCACGTAAAATCTAGATATAGTGTAGAGGCGCGAGGCATTTGTATCTGCACCTGGAATATTTAAAAAAATTCATTTATCATAATTAAAGCAGAAGTACTTAAGATATTTTTATGTGATTTTTACATAAATTATCTAATACGTTTTAATCGGACAAAGATTATTCAAAACATTTTATAGATAAGACTTGCACATGTTTATTTTTATATTTTATAGTTTAATTGTAATTTTAAATATTTAATTTGTACTTCGTTTAAATGTTAAAGTAATAATAATAATAATAATTATTATTATTATTGTGTTATAAGCAACAAAATTACAAAAAAAGAAAATATCAATGAGTGATAAAGTGCTAGCTATAAATGGCGAGCAGTATTGTTACTAAAAGAATACATGTGAATAGATCGACATTGTCAAAGTGAGACAAGATTTGTCAAGAAGCAGTAGAATGAAAAGAGGAGAAGGAAGAAAAAAATCCCCACATAAATCAATAAAAATATAATGCAAATATAATATTTTTGCAGAAACATTTGTTTTTGAAAAAAATGTTTACCCGTGGTAAGATCGTGATCTCCCACAAGTACACCCACAGTACTTGGGTCTATATTCCCTAAACAATGCGCGGCAGTTAACACATGTCTTTCGGATATGATAGTCGCTCCGCAAAATACCTCCGCTTGAAGAGAATCAACAAGACCAGCCATCATAGGATATTCATTCACGCCAGTTTCCATACCTCCCACTATTTTCGTCTATGATATATAATTAAAATTAGAACGAAAAATTCATAGAAATTATACATTTACGTCAAATTTTTTCACGTTACAATTATATACGTTATACTTAGTGCCATACCGACTTTTTCCATCCGCATCTACAAGAATCATCACCATTGTCCGTTTCGTCGATTGCTTGCAGCTCGCACAGAAACTTAATCCCCGATGACCAAAATAAAGTTGATAATTCAATAATCATAAATCTTCCTGTCGATTCTATACTAAATGGTTCATTGCCGCAATAAGATTGAGATGCAGAATCATTCACATATACAGTTAATCTATCCAAGGTGCATCTAACATTCTGCGGAAAAAATATTTTAAAAAAATATTGTCGTAAAAATTTGCAATTTTAATTACTAAAAAATAATAAATTTTATCATTTCTTTAACTAATCGAACTCTCTAACTAATCTTAGAAAATTAAATTATTTTTTTCGTGAAATTACGAATCGTTGATTATGGCAATGAATATCTTTCAGTAATCACGTTCGATTCTATTACAAGGCACAAATCTTACCCACGGAATGTTGAAATTATCGCACGTTAATCTAATGCGATAATTACTTTCCGCGAACCACCTGCAGTATTGTCGGCCGTTAGAAATGTTAGGGTAGTTAGGATTGTACACATAATAGATGCTACCAGGTTTTAAATATCCAGAATAGTTACAGTTTTGATGAAACAAACTGTTTGACATTATAAAATAGAAGAATAGGTTTAGCACGAGGAATCCAACTGTAAAAAGGACAATTTGTTACTGAATATACGCTATAATTTTTCGTTATTATTACAGATATATACAATAACAAAGAAAAAAATGCATTGTATAATTTATAATTAAAAATAACATTTTTTCATTTATCTTTACATTCCATTTGTGTCATAGGTGTTATAATATATATTCACAAGGATTTTATACATTATGCTAAATAATATATTCTTTAATTAGCGCTTTTCATCTCGCCTGGAGCGAGATGAGACAAAAGCACTGAAATTATCTCGAAAATAGAAATGATAATTAAAAGCCGATTGCGGCCAAGTGTTACTTAACAGTATTTCAAGAATAAATTATTACGACGCCACAGTTGTCGTCATCATTGCGCAATCAAGACGTTTTCTTCGAAAACATACATACTTCCAATTTTATTATCCTCTCTCTTGCGGAGGTAGATATATCTCTTTGACATTGAAATTCAGATTTGCTATCAAATCGTCATACAATAAAGTGACATTATATGATAAATTCAGAAATAAGGTAGTCGTTTATGAAGAACCGCATTGCAGTTGTCATCATATATCGCAAGCAAATGTATAGAAACATGCTACAGGAGCGAGTTAAGCTTTTTGCCGAAGTCAATAAGCGATTTAGTCTCATTGATATTATTGTAATTTAGGACTTCCGTGCAAGTCTTGTAAGTAATAAAAATTGATGAATTCGACGAAATAATAATATATCATATAACTGATTTCCAATGAAAAAAATTCTAATAAAATCTCATAATATTTTTAAAAATTTGTCATATTTTGAATTTATAAAAATTTCTAAAAACAAGTACCTTAAACTTTTTAGAGTTTATAAATTTTCTTCAGAAATTATAGAATAAAAAGTCTTAGAATATTTCAGAATTTACTTCTTTATGTGTAAAGAATTCTAGAAAAGATTTTTTTCAGAATTTTTAAAAAGTTAAATGAAAAGGAGCATACAGCCACACTTTAAATACCCTTCCCGGTACTAGTGTTAAGATGTTGAACTACAATCCAATATACATTCAATTAAATTGAATTAATATTTCAGAATTAATTGAGAGCCGATAAATCATCGGATTCACACAATCATTCTGATAATCCCCCCAAATCCACCCAAATCTTAAAAAACTGTAATAAACTTATTGCGAAAAATTTTTTTTTTTTTTAAGTGTTTCAATTTACATAAAAAAATTTGTAAAATTTTTTAAAAAGTTATAAAATTACATAGAAATTCTGAAAATTTCTAAAAAATTCTAAGAAAAATTTTTTTCTTCGATGGAATACCTTCTACATTTTAAAAGAAATGGAGCAGTTCTCGCGCTCAATTATCATAATTATTATTATTATTATTACACATGATATAATTTTTAAATATTATAATCAAATAACTCAATTGTCCGTATAATCCCATATAGAAGTCCAATTTTTTTTAATAATACTAAAAATAACTTATTTAAAAACGCTACTATTTAACGTTTTTAATATTAAAAATTAATAATCAATGCATCATTCAGTATTAAATTTCTGTATGGATTGCGCATAGTTTTGCAAAGTTACGAAATTCGCGAGTGAGTATCGCTTCTACGATCGCGTGGCTGTAAGTTTGTACAAGAATAAATTGAACATATGTGTAGGTATATAGTTGGAGCAATTTTATTATAAATGGCAATTCCCTCTTCTTGTCCCCGGTCTACGGCAGGCTTTCAGCAGGCCCCACGTTGAATGAACTTGAATGAAATATGCATACGCGCGTACATGTGTGTCGCGGGCTTTCATTGATTCGCGCTACAATTGTTCCTGTTAGCTTGACGCTTGAACTAACTGACGGTCTGTTGCCAATAAATGTTAATTTGCCATCAGTTGCCATCTAACTATGAGCCAGAAAGCACTGTGCACTGTTAAATATCAAAGGAGCAATGACAATCCAATCCATCACATTAAATAACATTTTGTTATTTTTAAATTTCATCTGCTTCAAAATGTAAATTAATCCATTCTTGTGGTTAGTTTTAAGGCGTGAACATCGTTCATATTAACGTCTGTACTTAGTAAATATTAAATAAATTAAATTTGAATCAAATTTAATACATTTTCTTGAATTGAATTGTTTAATTCTAATTTTAAATTAAAATTGTTTTTTTCGAGATGTAAATCGCGTTATCGATTTTATCGCCAGCAGAAAGAAATTTGAGAGAAGCCATGTCGACCTTTTTCCTCTTACCATCGAAATCGTCCGTACACAACTGCCATCCATTTTCAGTTTGAGAACCACGTGACTACATACATTTTCTGACACTATCGATAAAATCGTATCGTCGAAAGTAGATGTGGTTTGTCTCTGTACTAAATCCTTAGGATATAGAAGTATGCAGATCATCCATAGGAGGGATAGTTTAATGAGTCCTTGAAAAAAATTTTAATTTTGCATCTCCTACATATGTAAATAAAAATTGTTGAATTTTAATAAACAAAATTGAAAATTCAAACAGATTAATTTAGTGAATTTTGTCTTATAATATTTATCTTATAAGGGATGTCGCGGGGTGGAGAAATGAAATTAGTACCAAGGTTATATCATTGCACGAAAGCTCTCACTATACAGAGAGAGTATATTTATCTTATAATATCTTATAAAATATTACAAAGTTACATTTTTTTATGCAAATTTTCAGTTTCCGTTTTTACCAAACATAATTACTATAGTATAACTCTTTTATCTTAGAATAAGATGATGATTCTGTCATTCACGTCTTATTCTAAAAAGAGTTATTTAGTATTCATTGTTTTAAATAACAACACTTCCAACTTATTCCTTATTTAATATTTTAAATAAGTTTCTGAAACTTGTTTTATATTTTTTATTTTAAATAATTCGTATGTATCATACGTAAGTTTAAAGAATTTCTGAAACACAAAATAATTTGCAGTAATAGTAGTATCTTAATAAATTAATTGATTAACTGAAAAATTAAATAATAATTAACAAAATATTTTAGCACTTTTAGCCAAAGCTGTATTTAGCACGAATTGTTTCACGATATTAAGAAAATTTGCATATATCTTTATATAAAGAACATATGTACATAGAATACTTTATCAACCTTTATTTAAGTATGAATTATTAAAAAGAATAATAAAAATTGAGACAATGTTGGAATATCAAAAATACCCCATTCGAATAATTACTAATTACATTTAAAAGAACCATACAAGTAATATAGGATTGTGCCACATCTACTTTCGACGATACGAGTTTATCGATAATGTTAGAAAATGTACATAGTCATGTAGTTCCCAAATTGAAAATGGATGTACTGGTGGTAATGTACGGGCGATTTCGACAGTAACATGAAAAAGTCCGGCATTTCTTAGGTTTCTCTCTGTCGCCAGTAACGTAGCTACGTAGTTCTCAAATCGAAAATAGATTTACAGGCGCTAGTGTACAAGAGATTTTGACGGACCTATGAAAAACTTCTCGGGATGACCAGCCGTGCTGGTTGCCATGGTGGTTAAGAGTCATGGCTGTGATCAAAACACAAACAAACCAGGAGCTTTCTAAAAAAGCCTGTTTCGAGTCGGTGCGATTCGAAACATCACGTGTTTGCGCCGGTAACGTCAAATTCGTATGTACAGATGGTTTTCTAAGATTTTCTACTGCTGTCTGTTACGTGCATGCCTTTGGAGCAATCGCAGGCAATGCCAAGTCGCGACAACAGTGTTGACAGGCATAGAGAAAAGGTAGATTGTGCATAAAAATGTCTCAATTACTACCTCGTCTGTTTATTATTTATTAGTTTATTTATATATTATTTATTTGTATCACATTTTTGTAATGCTGCTCATTATTTTCTTCATACATTATTTTTTTTTTGCATGTATTGCTGCTTTTCATTTTATTTTCTTTATATATTTTTGGAGGACTAGCTCTAGAATGTTAATAGCTTTAGCTATTTATCTACAGCCTTGAATAAAAATATTAAACATCTTATTAATCATTATTTAAAGTTTCAGCTTAAAAATTGATTTACGGCATTTACTATAAATTATCCTTTGTTTCAAGAACTCTTTAAATTTATGTATAACCAATAGGTAACAATACAGAATTTCAGATAAATAAAAAACTAAGTGCTTAATATTTTTGAACAAAGCTGTATATCTTCATTTAAATAAAATGATTTATATTTACATCTTCTAACATTTGATTTTATCATAATCGTAGCGCAGCAGTCGTAAGGTTTCAATCATAGAAAATGAATTGGAACCAGTGCATAAACCACTGCGTTATAGACGGTTTCATAGGACTAGACGCCATTCAAGAGTCAAAGGAGAATTTGAAGAATTAATGGATAAAAATGGAAACAGCAATGGTGTCATAGTACCTAAAAAAAGTAACAAGCATAGTGTTCAAAAGAAACTTGACAAATTAGCTGAAGAAAATCGGATATTAACGATGAAATTGGAAAGTTCTAATATAAGCCCTGGTAAATATTTGCTAATAATATACAAGGGCAGTTTGATAAGTTAATGATTTTTTAAAAAATGACTATATTGAAAAATAAGTCGAATTTTGGTAAAAAAGAAATTGCTGACTTATCAAACTGCTCTTGTACTTTATGATATAAATAATTTGTTCGTAACGAGCAATCAAGAAAATATTTAATAAAATTTCAGAAACTATCACAGAATTAAAAGAAAAGGATTCCTTAATATCAAAAATTTACAATAAGTATCAGAAATTGTTGAAACATCATGACAGTTTACAACAAGAGTATGAGAAAGTAAGTGCTCTTTTGGCAGAACGTGAAACGGAATGCAATCAGTTGCAAACGCATCACAAGAAATTTACAGAAGTTTTACAAAAAGTAGAGAAAACCAATTCTAATCTTCTAACATTTAATCAAAGATGTAAGGCTGAAAATGTTCAGTTAAATGAAGATGTTCTGCTTCTTA